TCCGGATGCTCACTCTCGTGGAGTTTCAGGATCCCAGGCGCCAGGCGAACCTGAGTGCCCGTCCAGTCTGGGTCGGGAGGTCAGCCTGATCCAGGGGCTGACCCTGTCTCCTCCCAGGGCTGCCGTGCCTGCAAAGCCCATGGCTATCAGAATCAAAGGGACAGCACAAACGAGTGGGGTTCTCCTTTCCCCTTCCTCCCCATCCAAAACAAGGTGAAGTTTGGGGTTGAAAGTAAAAAGCTCAGTCCCTTGTGCCTCTGTGAACCTGTGGGACTGGGCAGGGCTGGAGGGTAAGCTGCAAAGTCAGACCGATGTCCGTTCTGGCCATGGTTCTCAACCAGGGGCTTCTGGGAAGGAGAGGCGTTTCTAGCTCTTACAGTAACTGGGGAGTCCCACGGGCAGTTGTGCTGTATGGCCCAGGATTGTAAATGCCCCGCACACCCAGACAGTCCCCGCACCGTGAACTGTCCCACCCAGGTGCCACTGTACACCTCCAAGAAACACCAACAGGAAAGCTCCAGGCTGAGAATTAGGGTGCTTGGTAAGTTCCGGGCCACCAATTACATGACCTTGAGTGAAGTACTGTACTTGACTTTTCTGTTCCTCCATTTCCTCAACTGGAGAGGATGCCTGCCTTTCTATTATCTCACAATACTGTTGAGAAAAGAGAAACAGGTACCGGTCCCCTTTGTAAACTGACCAGAACAATATGAACCCCAGCAATAGCTCATCAGGTGCTTGGAGGCCACGGCTCTCGCTCCCAGCACTGGGACTTGACCAGGGGGACCAGTGATTCTGGATAGCAGCTTCTGCCCCGAGGACCTACATTTTCAATTGGAAGGTCACTCTAAGCTCAAGTCTTGAGCAGAAAATGCAGAAGCTGATCTCTACCCCATCCACCCTCCGCAGCACCAAGCTGCTACTGTCTGACTCCTGAGCCCACTTTGCAATTGGTTCCAAACTCAGGGAACATTTAAGTGGTGTGAGTGACCATCACTCCCATGGCCATGGCCACTGTTCCCCTCACACAGGCTGTCATGACCTGCTTGGGTGCATCTCTGTCCTGGACTTGTGGGTTCCTGGAGACTGATGTCATCCTATGATTCCCGGGCATCCACTGGGTATGAATACATTGCCAAGGGCCTAATAAAGTGTTTCATCCATTCATCCAGAAGCAGAAGGGCTAGTGTTCCCAGAAGGCAGAGGAAGGTTGAGGAGGTAGAGACAGACATGCCTGGGGAACACTGGGATGCCAGGCCTCTTGGTCCATGTGGAACACAAGAGACTTGACTCACAACAGCATGCTCTCCAGCCTGGGTGCCCCAGTCCAGGTAGGGAGCAAAGTGCTGGGAGCCGTCACCCTGGCCTACCCAGGGCCAGAGCACACGACAGAAGCCAAGCTCCTCATCCCAATTGTTATATGATCTACAGACAGAAGGTTTCAGAAGCCTGGATGGCAGCCTTCAAGGGACCAAAGAAGAGACCATCCCAGTGCTGAGCAGCAGAAACAGAAATTACATCATTATCATCAACACACCTAGATGCTCATCAGCAAAGGGCCTCAGATTGGTCTTCAGTTCCCTGAATATCAAGACAAACTGGGACCCCTAGCTGATCCCTCTAGGACCCTCCTTCTGCCCATGCCCATCAGGTCCTTAGGGCAATTTTCAGATGCTAGCCCATTTTTTCTTAGATACCACCTTCCATTCAGGTTGGGTAAAACACAGGAAAAGAATGGCCCAAAAGGCAAAGGTAGATGCAGCTTCCATGCCCCCCAAGCACTGGAAGACACCCAGGCTGCTTCCCCAACCTCTCCACCCAACACCCACTCAGGGATTTGTGTTTGCGACATGCATTTACATTTGCAGTGACACATTCCCATGAGGAGGCCACTCACTCCTGGCTGGCCAGTACTTATCTCTGATGTGGGCTTGGCCAGCCTCCTTGACTCACCTGCAATATAAACAACAAGGAGCTCTCTGGGGGCCCACAGTTCGAGGTTCCAGCCCCATAGTCCAATGCTGCTCCCTCTGCGGCGTCACCAGACTGTGGCCCACCACGTGACTCCCTGGATACCCCGAGGCATGGCAGGCCGAGTGCACACAGGTGTTCTCTTCCCACCCCACCCGCCTTCCCTGGACAAGGCTGCTGAGACCCAGTGATGGGGCCAGGGGCCCAGGGCTTATGCTGCTCCCAGCTCTGAGCTCTGGAGGCATGATTCATGGAAGGAATGTGAGTCCCAAGAAATGGAGAAGAGTCTGAAGAGTACCACAGGACAAGCGTTCTAGCTTAGGGACGATAAAAATGAGTCACTGGGTGAAAGGTTCAAACCTCCAGTTATAAAATCTGGGATTGTAATGTGCCACACGGTGGCTGCAGTTAATCTACTCTGTTGTATTTTGGAAGTTGCTGTGAGAGTAGGTCTTAAAAGTACGCATCACAAGAACAAAACTGTTAATTATATGTGGTTACCTAGACTTACTGGAGTGCTCATTTCACAATATATATAAGTATCAAATCATTGTTAAACACCTGAAACTAATACAATGGTGTATGTCAGCTATATCTCAATTTGATAAATGAACCGCTAATCACACCCCCTTTCCAAGTTCTTGGAGTTGTAACTATGCTAAAAACCACAGGAAACCCTTACCCTACAAAACACAAGTCCTGAAAGTCAGTCTCCTTGACCTTACACGTCCCTCCTCCATTTTCCTACAGCTGGAATGCCATGGGACAGAGGCCATCTGAGATTTAGTTCCATTTTCTAGGTCTCAAGACAATCTTGGACCCAGAGGCAAAAGAAAATGCTGGAGTTCATGTTGTCCATCCCTGACTCAAGGCAGGAAGGGGAAAAGGAAAGGAACCCAACAGCTACATGAGTGGGTGGAGGAAAAGCTGGATTTACAGACAGTGTGCCCACAAAGGCTCATGAGTGGGCTCAGGCGCCTGGCCTGGCTGGTGGCAGTGACACATGGGGTCTCCGCCGAGGCCAAATGAACCGTAGCCGAGCACTGGAGCAAAGTAACTGGAGTCCCGGCCGAATCAAAGGAAACTGACACGGTGCCTTAAAAGCCGATGTGGCCTTTCAGACCGGCTGGGGGAGACAGCCCCGGCCCTGTGCGGAGTTTCTGGCCTCTTCCCTTCTGCTCTCAGTCCTGAACTTGCCTCTAACTTGAAAGAGCTAATTAAAGCCAAATAAAAATCAAATGCTTGTTATCTGGCTCCATTCCTCCCCATCCTGGCATCAGCCTGTCTTCCAAAGCTGTTTGCCCTCTGTTCTCTCCAAGGCCACCACGCAGTGTGAGGACCTGCCGCCGTCCCTGATGAACTTTGCTCTGTGTATCATGGCAGGGAGCAAGTGGGGGACAAATGCCTGCCCACGGGCAGCCAGGCTGATCTCGACAGCTGGTTTTACTCCCAAAAGCATTGCCCGAAAAGACAGGGTTTGATCAAGTTTTCTACAAAGGAGTGTCCACCAAAAAAATAATAAAAGCCACCACCACTCTGATCTCAAAAGAACCAGTGTTTAGCAAGTGTACAGCATAAACTTGCCATTTTCTGACACAGGGTGCCCATGTGCATGCTTGTGAGGGTACCATCGCATATGTGTACACAGGGGTGTGTAGGGGAGGGTATGTGTACAAATGTGGCAATGAAGGTGAGGAGGGTTCTCAAGTGCTATCTCTGCCACTCACTCACAAGATATGTGACCTTGGGCGATCCATTCACCTTGCTGGGCCTCAGAGTGAAGGTCTAGACCAGAGGGTCTCCAGGGGACATCCCCTGGTACATGCTGGGTGGCGTGGGTCCCAGTGCCCACTGAGATCTGCTTGGCAAGTAGCGCTACTTCATGAAGGGAAACTAACACCTTGTAAGTCAATCAAAGATTAGGAGTCAGGAATCACATCTGTGCCAATGCATTCTTCTACCTAGTGTGTGAATTTTTTTCCTCTCTCTACATTAAGATTACAAGATAGCTTTTTCTCAAACTAGGTTCATAATTCTTTTAATGGACAATTAAAAAGAAAAGGAGGAAAGGAGAATGATCCAGGACATAGAAGATGTGAACAGCTAAGCCCCCCAAGAATAATTGAGAGGAAAAAAAACTGGACCATTTTAAAAATGAACAGAAATCAAGTCATAGGAAAGCAGATGCTCTTCCCGTGGGGTCACAAGTGAGTCAGGCTGGGAAGGCAGGAGGCTGTGTCACCTGTTGCACCTGAAGTCACCCAGCAGGGCAGCAGCTGAGGTCCGGTATGTCCCTCAGGCTCCACTGGTCCCTGGAGGGCCTCCTAACCGACCCATCACTCTCCCTCCCTCTGGTCTCCTTCAGTATTCCGGTCACCCAGTGCTGTTCCTGGCTGCTGCCCAGCTGGGAGGTGGCTTTGTCGTGGCACTGAGCACACAAAAAACACCTCATCAATACACTCCCTTAAGCAAGCTCTGCTTGCCCCTCTATGTGCCCTGGACTCTCACCCTATTTCTTCTGTTCTCATTTTGCCATTTCCTAAAGGTACACAAGGGGCTAAAAAACATAAATCTCCTGAAGTTCTAGATCTATCCCAAATGTGGAATGGTTGGCTCCATTATCCCAGAAATGGTTCTTTTCTAAGGCCCCTTCACTCCCCTAAGTAGTTTTATCTACTAGGAGTGATTCGCAGACCTTGTGGGAAGAAGCAGGATGCAGCATGTGACGATCTAGCCGTCAGCAATGCCTGGTGCTTATGGCACCTACGCACCCCAATTCCCGCCTATTCCTAGCACTCCCTCCTGTAACCAGTGAGCCAATATGGAATAGAGAAAAGTGCCCTGATAGGAACTCTGTGTGTTAGCTCCAGCTCTGACCCAGTGTCATAGTCACAGCATGCTCTGCTGGTGATGATCTGAGTCCAGTGAAATCAGATATCCTTGAAATGGGACAGGTGATTCACACCCCACAGAGGCCTCAGGCCGGGGTCCTCCCTCCACGCCATGCCCGCAGGCCCTCCCCGACTCACCGCGCTGCTGCAGGGAATGTCCTTCACCTTGAGCCAGGCCAGGTCCAGTGTGCCCTCGCCCCGGTAGCAGGACTGCAGACGCTCCTTAATGCGGTCATTGATCTGCTTCAAGATGAAGATGCACAGGGCCGACTCATCCAGGGATTTCATTTTCCGCTTCTGGCCCTTGGAGAAGACGGTGAAGAGGAGGTCGTCCTCAGGACGTACTCCGAGGGTCCGGGCGAGCACGGCCCCAGCCTTGGACAGGTAAGCAGCCTGCAGCAAGCGGTACTCCACCCCGCTGCGCTCACAGCCAATGGGCACCTCCACATAGGAATTGAAGGCAGTGTCCTCCTTGCAAAGCCTCACGAGCTTGGACGTATAAACCTGTTCCTTTGTAGTGGAGCCTGGGGGTGACACCATCTCAGGCTGGAGGGTCAAAAAGTAAACAAAGTTGCCACTGCTGAAGCCATAGACATAGTAGATGTCAAAGTCAGGGATGACAGTGAAGGTATCTGAAGGGATCTTAATCATCGAGGCCACAAACTCATCATGGAAGACATAAGCGAACATGCCGTCTGCCTCTGAGTTCTTAGTCAGCTTCCGGCTCGAGATGGTAGGGAAATATTCCGGCTTCCCGTCCACTGCCGTGGCAATGAAGAGCTTGTCGTCCAGGTTGCTGTAGGAGACGATCACTCCAAAGACCGAGCCACTCTCGTTGACCCCCGACAGGTAGTGTTCCTTCTTGTGAAAGGGCTCCCCGAGCTTGAAGAGGTCCTCCAACCTCAAGAGCTTGCAGATACCCTGGTAGAGGCTCCCACAGGCAATCAGCCTGTTCTCCTTATAGTCGATCAGGAGCATCTTGTTGACATTGTTGGTGGTGGTCAGGGGCTCATGGCATGTCTGGACGATGCGGGGTGGGTAGCACTTGGGGTTGTCCTCATCTGGCCCTGTCTGGTGGGTCACCAAGACCTTCAGGTCACTGGAGAGCTTATAGATCCGGTTGACGGCCCCCAGGTAAATGTGCCCGGTCCTTTCATCCACCACCAGGTGGTTGAAGCCCTCGGCAGGCTCTCCACGGAATGTGACAAAAGACCGCTTCTGGGATAGCGGGGGCGGCTGTCGGGGGAGCAGAGTGGAGGAGCCCACCCCTACCATCAGGAGATGGGAGAGCAGACAAGTCCAGTTCCAAGGCATGGCTTTCATTTCAGAGATGGGTCCTCACGGCACAGTAGTACTCGGCACAGGGGTCTCCTCAGAGGCCCAGGACTCAGGAGTGAGGGCTCCCTGTGGGAAGAGGAAACATGTGACACTGGACACCAGAGGAGCGGTTTAGCCTCACCCCATATCTTATCTGGCCAAACCCTCAAAGCATTCCGCACCTTCTAGAACAGAATTTCCCTGGGAAAGCTGGAGGCCAAGGGACGCTGCCCTCATGGGTGTGTGGGACAGCCAGAGCTGGGTGGCAGCCGGGGATGGAGAGTACTTCAGCACTGATAATAGCAACAACAGTAGTGATGGTAACAATGAGGACAGTGACAATAATGACGATGATGATGAGCAGCCATTGCCTGCCGAATGCCTGACTCTGTGTCAGTCACTGTCCAGCACCTTCCAGAGACTGTCTCATTTCACCTGAGAAACCTTTCAGTGTTGGGTATCCTCACCATCCCTCAGGTCCACTCCCTGCCCTTCTCAGCACTCAGGAGGCTGACCTGTGTGGACCATACCTTCGGGCCTCATCAGGTGCTGCCAGTGGGAGCATCTGCAGAGGGCTGGTGGGAGGGGGAGAGGATGGGGGAGCAGAGGTGTGCTGCCTGCACTGGCTGCCACACCCACCCACAGGTCGCAGGGCTCCCGGCAGGCCTCTCCACGCTGCCTCTCTATGTCCAGGCTCCATGTGCCACCTCCTGCCCACCCCCACGTGGTTCTAGACAAGGTTACGGGACCTCACTGTTCCTATCCCCCAATACCACCCTGCCTCCTAAGGAGCCACACCTTTGTGAAGACCTCTTTGATTAATCTTTGCACAAATGACCTAATTTGGATGTGCTGTTTCCTGCTGGGACCCTGACTCGCAGACCTCCAAAGTAAGTAGTATCACTATCGTCACTTTACAGCTTAGGGAAGTTATGTAACTTGCACAGCTAAAAGCTCTAGAGGTGGAATCACACCCAGACCATGCAAGCCCGTAGCAGGTTCTCATTCTTAGCTGCTAAACCAGCTTACCTGGGGCTGGCGCAGGTGGTTATGTACACAGTTACTGTTTATATGCAGCTGAGGATTTTAAACAGCTCCTTCTTGGGGGCTATGGATGGCAGCTCTGGCCCCAAGACTGCACCAACTACAGGAGAAGCTTCTCCTTGTGCCTCCCATTGCTGGACAGGGCACGAGGCCAAATTAAAAACCCATGCCCTGGATCCCTTCACACCGTGGTAGCAAACAGGTCCTCTGGGTACACTGCCCAGCTCTGAGCTCTGCTGTCATTTTAATGAGGCAGATCTTGGCTGCCTCCCATAGTGGGACCTCCTCTGAGAGGTTTTCATTAAAGGGAGAAAACAAATGCTTTAAAAAGTGGTCAAGTAAGTAAATAAATAAATAACTCCTCGTGGATCAAATAGCTTTCCATCCTAATGACCTCATTCATTTCTATTCAAGATGTTTTCTGTGTGTGTTTCCAGAGGACAGCTGTGTATTTCTTCCAGTTTGGGCGAAATTAGGGAAGGAATGTCCTACGTTGTATTTGAGGGCCTCGCGCGGCTCTGTGGAATTTCTCTCATTCACCCGAAATGCCTCAAAAATGGGGTTATGGGAAGAAGTAGACCACTGAGCAACAGGAAAGCCCCTAGCAGGGAGAGTGCAAGGTTAGATGGAAACCAGGAGGAGAAAGAGGAAAACAGACTTGACATCAAATCCCAGTGAAACCACAGGTCTTCTCAAGTAAACGTCAGAGGGGGAAGACTCAGCAGATGGTGCTCCCTACAACTAACAACACTCCTGCAAGTCAAGGGCCACCATTCATTCCCCCACATGGCACACGTTTGCTCAGGGCACACAGAAGATGTGCGAGATGCCATGGGATCCGGGGACAGCTGAGGCTGGATCGGGCCCTCTGAGGACTTGGACTCCGGTCAGGCAGACGCCACCCAAAGCTAAATGACTCAGGTGGCGAAAAGTGCTGTGAGGGAGGACGGAGGGAGAGATGAGCTCGAGTGAGGAGCAAAGCAAAGGCTGGGGGGGCCTCGGCAAGGGGGCAGCCTCCGGGCCGAGCCAGGAACCTGGTGAGCCCATCAGACCAGAAGGGAAGGGCCCCCTGGGGAGGGACCAGCCTAGAAAAGTGAGGGCATGTCAAACAGCAATACACCAGGAGTCTCCTGAGCACATGGTTCATGAGAGTTGGTAGAAGGCAGGGCAGGGAAGAGAGGCCATAAGCCTCGCCACGGTGCCCCTGCCAGGCTGAGACTAAGATGGTGCATGGTGCTGAGAAAGAAACTTGAAGGAAAAGAGCACAGGCCCTCACATTTCCCTGGATTTGGCCTTTGCAGAAAGAACTGCGTTTGGAGCTGAGGGCTGTGGGCTCCCTGAGGGCAGGGAGGGCCTGCCCTGCTCACTAATGAGCCCACAGTACCAGGCTCATGCCTGACATACATAGTGGAGACTCAAGCACTGTTTTCTGACTGGAGAAAAGAGGGGGGTGGATGAAAAGAATACTAGTACCTGGACTATTTACTGTAACCCAGGTTCAATGCTTGCCACATAGATTAGCCCACCTAATCATACAACAGTTTGCTGGGTGATTGTACCCACTTTCAGGTGGGGCAGCTTTAGCTCTGCAAGGGCCTGGTGCTAATAAGTGGCAGAATTGGGGTTGAAATCCAGGTTTGTATCACTGCAAAACTGTGCTCTTCCCTGAAATGCACAATTTCAGGGTCCAGAATACAGAGCATGTGGAAGCCCTTTTTAATTCACACAAGTCCCCAAACAGAGAAATCCCAGGATATCACCCAACATTACTGCCCCATGAGCTCCGTAGGAGGAAGCAAAGCCTCTGGGACCCACAAGCGTAACCTGACAGGTAATGGCTATCAGTCAGGCACCACTACATACCTCTAAAAGTGTTCATGGCTGGAAAGTGCCTGGCACAGGCCTTGGCCTGGACCAAAGTAAGTGCTTATTAAATAGTAGTTGTGGATAAGATTGAAATAAAATGAAAAAGATTAGGATAGTACCTAAAGGCACCATCTCAATTAGAGTGATGAGAAGTCAGGATGATTCATATTGAATTGTCTGTGCAAATCCAGTATCAGAGAAGAATCCAGAAGTTTTTGATTGGAAGCAGATAATCCAGTTTATAGACTCCCAATCCATGACTTAAAAGACAGGGAAGTTGTGCTCCAGGGAAGTTAAATGACATGCAGGGCACATGGTGAATTCAAGGTGGGGAGGGCATTACTCTTGGGTCTCTGGACTCCCAGGCCAGTGCCCTTCCCACTCCCTGAGGCCTGTCTCCCAACTTTATCTGAACCCACTCGGCATCTGCTCCCTGCCCTGGGTCCGGAGGAGCCTGCTCTTTGGGTGCCCTATGCTCTGCTGGCTAGTGCAGCTCTCGGGACATCACCGCCAATAACAAATTGGAGGAGGGCTGGTCATCCTCATTCCAGACAGGCAGGGGCAGGTCACGGCTCAGCCAGCAACCCTCTGCAGGGAACTTTCGGCAGTTCCTGCATGAGACCCTGCAGGCATGGGGTAAGTGTATCTGCCACACCCGCCTCTTACTGTACACACTCACAGACCCCAAGCCAATCAACAGTTCTCTAGTTTGCAAGAGGCGAGACGAGGAAGCCTGTAATTATGAATTTACTGAGCAGAAAGGTGCCGGGGCTCATTCTCCATCTTCTATTAGGCACTGAAATGAGACACAGTTATGCATCTCAAATAGTTATCACCCTCATCTGGGAATGGTGAAATTACCGTGCCTGCAAGGGGGGGAACCCACAGAAAACAATAATGTGTGATAGGAATAACCAGCCTCTCATTTTACATACCACGGAAGGGACTGATTAGGAAACAAATAACAGAGAAGTGGAAGAGAAAGGGAACAAGCAGGGGTGTGGGCTCCAGCCTCCCTCTCCAAGCACCCTACTGGGCATCACTGCAGGGGTGACCCAAGAGCAGCTCCCACCCCAGCTCCAGACCCCCAGGTGGGCAGAGCTGCCAGCCCCTCCACCCTACCCTGGGGCTGCCCAAGGCTGCTCTGTTCCAGAAAGGATGGACTTCCAGAATGATTCCCATGCCAGGGCTTCCATCCTAGGAATGGATGCCAGGGCAACCCCAACCTAGGAAATCCTCATCCTGACTCCAGGTCCTCCCCACCATTCCTTGCTCAGAAATCAATTCGCTGGTTTTAAAACAGAGCACTGGAAGTAGCATTCAGTCCAACTCTGATTCTTAAAGCCGTGCAATGTCCCTGAGTCACCCCGAGATAGCCCAAGGACTCACTGAGCTCTGCAGAGGGGCAAGTGGTGAGAAGGCAAGAGAAATGAAGGCTCTGAATCCAACCCAAACACACTCCAGTTTTCCCTTCTTTGAAATCAGAATTTAATTCTGAGTGATCTCAGGGGAGATGGGACTCATTTTTAGAAGCTGATCATCATTTTGATTAAAGAAATTGGGGCTGTCTTTGTTTTAAGTGGCAAGTGCTGAAGAGCTCAAACTAATTTTCATGAAATAGCACCATCCTCTCAGGCTCCTGAGTGGTAGAGAAGAAAGTTATTACAGAGTAGTTTAAAATAGCAATTACCTCACAAAATTACCTTCGAGTTTACAAAGTGTTTTCATGTACATTACCTTGTTCTCATTTTATTGTTCATGACAACCCTGGGTAGGAGAGCTATTTGTACATTTACCTCTACTGATAAGGAAACTGCAGTGTGAGCAGGTACAGGTCCTGGCTGAGGTCACATACAATCTTGCTGGGACCTGGAAAACTCTGCAGGTCTCCCTCGGCTTTCCACTGTGCCATCCCTGACCCTCTGGATGGAGCCCTAATCCCTAGAGTCTTTGCTATGAGATCACAGAACATTCAGGGAATGCCTTTTAGGATAGCGTATCGAGAGACAAGTCCTCATCCATCGATCCACCAACTGAGTGGGTCACATGTGTTTTTTTTATGAAATTAAATAGAAGAGAAAAATCAGAGTATGTCACATTTAGGAAGGACAAGCACAACTTAGTGAGACTTCTGTTCCAGCCATACCTGTGTGTGTATTGAGTTTGATGCAAACTTA